GATTCAAGAAGACATCGAATCAGCCAAACGGAGACTTGTTAATGAAGATGTTGACGACAGTGATGGTCCTGTCACTTTCATTTTACTCTTCACAACCTTCACTGCTCTCTGCGGCACCGCCTCTTATGGCACTGCCGTAATTTTCTTCTGTCTTAATCTTCATCTATTTCTTACTCTATCGTGATTTATCTGTTTTCATGGTAGCTTAAATATTACTAAATGCTCAACAAAGCAGGAAAAAACTAAAATCAACGTAAATTTCTTTTACCAAAAAAAAAAAATCAACCTAAATTTCAAAATACATTTGTTTTGCACAAATGCTCTATCTTTCTTAGCATGAAAGCTGGTTATGACTTATGCGTACTAATAAAGTTGGTCATTTATCAAATCATTAATAGTTAATTAGTTTTTTGGAAGATCATTCATTGGTCATATCGAACTATAGAAATGCTTTTCTGTTTTTGTTTCTCATGAAAGGTCCAAATCAAGAGAATGAATGATCTATCAAGCTGTCACGAAAAGCGATATATATATATATATATATATATATATATATATATATAATTGTGATTAATATATATCCACATGATCTTTTTTTTTTTGTTTTATTTTATTTTGAGCAGGCCGGCTTTACGTCACCAGCTCAATCTGGGATGATGGCAGGACTAAACCTCTCGTTGGCTGAGGTCAGTTTTGAATTGTTGATTTTATTTTCTGTATACTAATATGATTTTCAGTCCTATTTTTGATAATTATTTTGTTATCTGATACAGAAGATAATTTATGAGTAAAGGGACATATGTCAAAACTGAAATAATTATTTCATAATAGGAAAATAAGTCAACCTGAAACATTCAATAAAAAAATGAATTTTCCTACCTTAACTTTTACAAATCGTCTAATTAGTAAACCACTAAACAACTGTGTTCATCTGTTTGTATTAATTGAAATTTCTACTTAAAAGTATTGTCAATGTCATGGTAATACAGTTTTGCTCAATTATCATTTTTACAATATATATATACGAATATAGTAATAGACAAATAAAATTATGTTATCTTACAAAAGAAAAAGGCAACTAAGAAATTGTTCATCACATGAATGTAGTTCTCATTCTTTGGATCCATATTGACAATTGGTGGACTTGTGGGAGCGGCGATGTCCGGAAAGCTCGCCGATCTTCTTGGTCGGAGAGGCGTAAGTTTTTAATCCATTATTGAAATCTAATTTATCATAATGACTAAAATTACAATTCAATTGCGTTATTCTTTATAAATTCCAATGAAAATAAATAGCAACTTGATATATGAACATACGCAGGCTTTATGGGTTTCAAACTCGTTTTGCATGACCGGCTGGCTTATGATCGCCTACTCTCAGGTTTCTACAGATTCAATATTCCTTTTAAGTTTTTAATACTATAACTCTGGTTTATTATACTTTTAACCCCAATATTGTACACATAATAATTTAGATAAAATGAGAAAAAGAGTTAAATTGATTGTTAACTGTTTCTAATATAATATGTTACTATTTAAGGCGGCTTGGTCCCTTGACATCGGAAGACTTTTTCTCGGCGTTGCAGCTGGTTTATCTTGTTACGTGGTACGTAAATTAGCGTGTCTAACTAGGGCTAGTGACTTTCACTCAAGCAACCAATAAGTTAAATACTAATCCCAATGTACAGGTACCAGTCTACATTGTAGAAATCTCACCCAAACAAATCAGAGGCGCGTTTACTGCGGTTAACGCGGTAATTAATACACGGCAATTGTTACTTTTGGGTTCATTTTTACTTTTTTATTTTTTTTAAAAGATCTTATCATTTTTTTTCTTCCGCAGCTTGTGATGTCTTCTAGCGTCTCCATTACATTACTCGTTGGATCAGTCGCATCATGGAAAACATTAGCTCTCATAAGTAACATAACTCTGGACCCTGCCCAAAAAAATTACATATACTCTTAGTTAAATTTTACTCTGTTTTCTTATGATTCTAAGTAACCAAGTTGATCATACAACTAATATTAATATTTTTTTTTTTCGTTTGGAATTGTGCAGGTACGGTTCCTTGTGTTTTAGAGTACGTCGGTTTATTCTTTATCCCGGAGTCCCCTAGGTGGCTGGTAATGAATTAGTCTTGTAGCTATTGGTTAAATTTAACACGTATACCATATTAAGAAACATTATTGCAAGTAAATCAAATAACTTTAAGAGCTTGTTTTTATATGACTATAGTCTAGAAATGGTCGGGTAAAAGAATCGGTTGCTGCACTCCAACGTCTGCGAGGAAACAATACTAATATCACCAAAGAGGCTGCAGAAATCAAAGTAAAAACAAAATGCTTAAGAAACTCAATTAGTACAACACATTGCCTGACTGAATTATTTGATTCCATAGTTATAATACTTTAAAGTATATTCTCAGATACACATGGAAAATCTTCAAGAAGAATTCAAAGAAGATTGCTTTTTCGAGCTCTTCAAACCACGATACTCTCGTGTTATTAGTGTAAGAACTCGATTGAAAATTTGAAGTTAATGAGTAGAAACGCATTGCTGAATTTTCTGTATATTTTAAGGTGGGAATTGGATTGTTAGTACTGCAACAAGTCGGAGGGCTCAGTGGATATACATTTTACATGAGCTCGATTTTCCAGAAATCGGGTATATATATTCAAAATTGAAATATCGTTGGAGAGAAGAATTATTTTGTAAGAATTAATATAATTGTCACATAAAGATGATAATTAACATACAAGTTAATTGTCTCACAGGGTTTCCTAACAACTTAGGAGTATCAATAGCGAGCGCGGTGCAGTTGGTGACAAGCATTTTAGGATTAATAATCGTGGATAAATATGGGAGACGGTCCCTTCTAACGGTTATATATATCTTATTTTTAGTTATTGAAATTATACGATAAATAATATGGTGGACAGATTAGAAATTAACGTAGTTTTTATTTATGTGAATTTCTCATATGCAGGTTGCGACGGTCATAATGTGCATGGGGTCATTAATCACCGGACTATCGTTTTTATTTCAGGTTCCTTAACAGAAAAATAATCACATTAGTTAAATTACAAGATATACGTAGGTTAATGTAAATTATGTTTGCATTCTTTTACCAATATAATTGAAGAGATCAAAACTAATTTGCAGAGCTATGCTTTACTCAGCAACTACACCCCGGTTTCAACATTCATTGGAGTGTTGGTACGTACTACGTCCAAAAATCATAAAATCATTCTCACATATCTGTGTCAACTATAGCTACATAAACTCTATAGATGTTCCTCGATATATTTGCCGGGTTTATAGTATTTTTTCGACCTTAATTGCAGGTTTTTTTCGTTTCCATCACAGTAGGAATAGGAGGTATTCCATGGGTCATGGTCTCCGAGGTAATTTTTTTTTCTTAAAATGATCGTAACCAGACTAATAACAATACTGTATAGTTTTGTATCAAAACGCAAAAGAACATTATTGTATGTCGAGTTCAAAAGCATAAAAACATATAGGTGCTCTTATAAAAAAACAAATAGCATTTCAAGAAACATGAAAACTGATGCTATATGAATTGTAGATGTCAAACCATGGAAATTTAGTTTCTTTTTGTTTTAATTTTTTAGTGCACTCGAGAATATTAATTAGGTAATAGTTCATTTAATCCTAACTATCCATATGAACTTACAGTCGTTTTTAACATACTTAATTGTTTATTTTGTGGGAAATCTAGATGACACCGATAAATGTAAAGGGATCGGCAGGAACGTTATGCAATGTAACGAGCTGGTCCTGCAATTGGCTCGTCTCCTACACTTTCAATTTCCTCTTTCAATGGAGTACTTCTGGTAATTGACATCGATCGTTTCTTTTTCAAAATAACTAATACTAATTTCACTTATTACTGATAGATTAATAATTTGTCTATATTTTTATTACAGGTGTGTTTTTCATATATTCAATAATCTCTGGTTTGGGCATTCTATTTGTGTTGAAAATGGTACCGGAGACTCGAGGTCGATCGCTCGAAGAAATTCAAGCTGATATTACCAGATAACTTAATTTGTACATATTAATATTTCTTTTATTAAAAAAAAACTATTTATTTTTATCTGGTATCCAGTTCGTATAACTTAATAAATGGTCTCACTTATCAGTTAAATTAGTCTTCGTCTGGCCATAACTAAATATTCAACTTGAGAATATACGATTGGTGCATTTATTTATGTTTTGGTAACATATATTACAAGATATATTACAAGTTAATCCATTGTATTAGTTATTAATTAGATGTTGCTTTGAGTCGAACGATTACAAAGTTTGTATATTTATGTATTTAGAGCACCTTCTAATATTAATATTGATCGACTGTAATTCAATTGTATCACAAAAATATGAGTTTTTGCTATTTAATGTTCTTTCGTTTTCAGATATATACTTAATCAGTATTTTTCCTTTTCCATTTCCGGTTCCTTTGTGAGTTGTCAGACATTAGTACCTCACTAAATAGGTTTTGCCATTTCCGTCTAGTGTAGACGGGTGTATTTTAGCTTCATTTTTTGTAAATTTATATTTTAGCTTCATCTATATATAAATCCATATCGACGTTTATTTATGTACTGGAGTTCATACCAGATATAACTACGAGTATTGTCGTGCATCGTCGTCACAAATCACCTCGTTAATGTTACATCTAATTTGTTTAGGGTTTTATAAGGCATCTTTTCACTTTATTTGCGTTGACTAATAGCCGACTGAAATGAAGGATCAAAGCAACCATTGAATAAGGTAACTAGACCATGATTATCGCTTGGTTCTTAGGTGGATTTTTAGGTTAATTATGATTAAAATTGAAGAAAAAATTGGAATTACCTTAACCGACGTATCTTAAACAAGCCACCAAAGAGACGCCTCTTATGTTCACCACTAATCCAATTAATCCTCAACTCAATTCACAACAGAGAGAAGCTAGAGTTGTGACAGAGAGAGAAACCATGGCGGAATGCAGAGTGGGGAGGATAAAGCTGGGAAGTCAAGGTCTCGAAGTCTCAGCGCAAGGCCTTGGCCGCATGAGCCTCTCCGCCTTCTTCGGTGTCCCCGAGCCCAAAACTGATCCCATCTCTCTCCTCCATCACGCTATCAACTCCGGCATCACTTTCCTCGACACTGCCGACAGCTACGGTCCTCACACCGACGAGTTACTCCTCGCCAAGGTTCATTTTTTTCCCCGCTAATCAGAGTTGGGTTTTCAAGAAAGGAACAAACTTTATAGGTTTTGGGGTTTATCTCTCTGGTTCCTCGAGCTTCCGTATCTCTAGAAATGATTTTGTTGTTTGCGATGTTGGATTGTGTTAGGCTCTGAAGAATGGGGTGAGGGAGAGAGTGGAGCTTGCTTCCAAGTTTGGAATTATTTATGGAGAGGGAAAGAGAGTGATAAAGGGAGATCCTTTGTATGTTAGAGCTGCTTGTGAAGCTAGTTTACAGCGTCTTGATGTGGATTGCATTGATCTTTATTACCAGCTTTCCTCTTGCAAGTCCTATTTCATGCTATGGTTTTATACCATTGTCAAAATGAAATGGAAGTCGCAGTTCAGAGATCATGAAGGTGTGTCACTTATTGAATAAGGTTCGTATTGGAGTTTCAAAAATAAATTTGGCCCGATAAAATAGTTTAACTAATTCGTTTATTTCTTATAAGAGACTGATAATAATGACAACGTAATGACACAAAATGATGGAATGATAGGGGAAAGTTATATTTTAATGTTTTTCTTCATAATAAGTTGGTGTTGCCATGCATTGCATTCCATGCTTTAACGTTAAACATATAGATCTCATCAAGGAAGTCCACTGGCGCCGTAACCACCACCAGCACCCGCTCCACCACCGAATCCACCACCGATACCTCCACCTCCACCTGCTCCTCCTCCAAATCCACCTCCGGCTCCACCTCCACCTCCGAGTCCACCTCCACCTCCAAATCCACCACCAGCACCACCACCAGCACCACCTCCAGCTCCTCCACCAAATCCTCCTCCTGCTCCTCCACCAGCTCCTCCACCTAAACCACCGCCACCTCCAGCTCCTCCGCCTAAACCACCGCCGCCTCCAGCTCCTCCACCTAAACCGCCACCAGCGCCTCCGCCAAGGCCGCCTCCTCCGCCAAGACCACCTCCTCCACCAAGGCCGCCTCCTCCACCAAGACCACCTCCTCCTCCAAGACCACCGCCTCCACCAAGACCGCCGCCTGGATGGTGGAAGAACGTCTTTTGATCCTCGAGACTACTCTTAAGCTTCCTGTTAGGGACACTGGCAAATGAAGTGAAAGCTAGGGAACCGACAAGTAAGGCAACAAGAAGCATTGACTTGGAAGCCATGTCGAACTTTGTGTTTTGTGTATGTTATGATGAGGAACTATATCCGCTAAATAGGCCTTTATATAGATCATGGAGCTAGAGCTGAAGAATTGAAAAATTAAATAAAAGGAGACAATAGTAAAGATTTAGAGCGATTAATGATCGTCATTAATTCATCTGCCCATCTAATTCATGTTGGCAAATTTAATGCAATCCCTATCTACCAAATGTTGACTAACTAGTCACTCACCCACATGTAGTAGACCCCTTCTTCATTCTTTGTGCTAGTACGCCAAGAGTTTGAATATAACCTAAAGCGACAAAAAAGAGACAGAATTTAACCAGTTATTTAAAGATGTTTGATCTCTGGTACGAGTAGATTTATGAACTCAAAAATTCTTGGTTACCAAATAAAACTAAAAATCAGTCTTCATACACTTCAGAGATCAAATGTATGGAGTGTGAGTTTTGAGCCGTTGGTGGATAGAATGAGAGTTTTCTGTAGTGGTCGCTCAGATTTTTCTCATTTGCAGATAGACAACACTTCATTAAATAGATAATTTTTAGCATTATCAATTTCTAGAGTTTGCTTTTTATATTATCAAAATGTCTATATGATGTTAAAAATTTAGATTTATTATAAATTTTCAACTTAAAATTAATTGATGATAAATGAATTGATCATTTTGATCAAAAATAAAAGATGAATGGACCCTAATCATAACATATTATTTAAGATTCTATTAATTTCTCGTTATGGAATACTTTATTCCTAATACCATTTCTCGATATGATGACTTTTATTGACCAGAAACCTCAAAAATGTAAGATATTTATATTCAATCGAGCGAATCAAATATAATAATTATATATAGTCAAAATGTTAAAAACGATTTTTATACCCGATTGGAAGAGTTAATTAATTAATTAACAGTTTAGAGGTTTTAAGATATAGGCTCTGATGCCACATTAGATTTGAGTTTATTATGAGCTTTTAACTTAAATACCAATTGATGATAAGTTGATCGATCCTAACCTTTTATATATTACTTAAGATCTCATTGAATTTTGATGTAGAATATTTTATCCCTAATAGAAGCTTTAGGTATTAGTCGACTTTGGGATTCTTCCAAAGCTTTTTTTTGTGTGAACTCTCATTAGATACGATTAGATACATAATCAGTGGCGGTTCCATAATTTTGTGTGGGATCAAAAACAATTTAAGGTGTCCTGGTGAGAGTCAAACTCAGGTTTTGTGGGTTCAGACACCATATTAACCAACTCAGCTACCAATTTTTTAGTGCTTTCCTATACATAATAAATATTTGTCATGTTTTTATGGTATCAGGTGACCCCATTTCACTCTAAGTGGATCAGCCCCTATACATACTGTATATTTATTCTCATATATGGATCTTTTGGGAAATTTTGAATGCGGTGAAAATAGTTAAAGATCAATGATGGGTAAAGTATTTATTTTTTGGTCTGACGACTAGCTACACATACACAGTTAATCAAGATATTTTAGGAAAATAGACACTTGTTTCTTATGTATCTGTCGAAAAGTAAATATTTCTGTAGAATTTCTGGTTGTGAATACAAATAAAGTCTCACATTAGAAGGTTAGACAAATAATGTCTAGTATATACAATGATGTCCAACTCTGAATAGTATGAGACCTTTTAGGAGCCCAAAACCAAATCCATGCGGGCTTTGCTTGTTAGGCCTCAAGTGGACAATATCCTACTAATCAGATCTAGAAGATTTGGACATGGGATTGGACGAAGCCTAACAATTGGTATCAGAGCCGGGATGACGAAAAATCTGCAAGAACACCAAAATACCCTTCAATTTAGAAGTTCTCCACCATCGATGGGAAGGGAGGGTGGTACGTAGAAGAGGCTGTCAAAGATCTTGGAAGCTTCAGTTGTGGGAGGATGGTCCTCAAGGTGACTTTGCGATTAAGGGTGCCAGAAACATGTATTGTAAGTCTCTCCCTAACGACGATACAAAGATTATGTGGATATTCCTAACAGTGCTGCAAGGATTATGTGGTGAATGGCCTAATGGTGCTGCAAGGGTTTGGTGAATAAATCCTAATGGTGTAACAATGGTTAGGTGAAGAGTCATGTTGGTGATTACGGCGGTACAAAATGTGTGCTAGGTTTCACTGGAAGTTGAAAACCAAGGGTTTGTGTGGTACTTGGTTTGAGAGGAGGTTTGTTGTGAATGCAAACAAAGTCCCACATTCGAAGTTTAGACAATAATGTCTAGTATATAAAGGGATGTCTAACTCTGATTAGAACGATGCCTTTTGGGAAGGAGTCCAAAACCAAATCCATGGGAGCTATGCTTGTTGGACCCAAAGTGGACAATATTATACTAGTCGGATATAGAAGAGTTGGACATGGGCTTGGACGAAGCCCAACGCTTCTTTTAGCAGGTGCATACATTGAAAAATCTGTTCAGTTTTTCTCTTGACAATTTACTGCAAAAGAAACTACTATCATAATCATTCGATCACTCACTCACGAAAATACTTATCTTTTATGTTATGATCGTAGTCACCTATGTCTGCTACTTCATCACCACTAGCTAGCTTCACCACCAATACCACTCTCTCCAGCGTTCTGTCTTTTCCTCTACCCCACCCTCCTTACATCTCCGGCAAATCCCCGCCTCTCCATTAAACGCCGCCGCTGTTTAAAAATCCTCTCAGAATTGTAGGATTTGAACAACTGAATCCTTTAACGGATGACTATTTTAAAATGAGAATAAATGATGTATTAGTGGAAGAAGTTGTGTTGCCTTTGATTTGTAACGATAACGATCTATGTCACAACAAGCCAGCGAAACGAAAAAACAAAAGATAGAGTTTACAAAAATCTACAAAGAAAGAGTATAACGGACAATGATTTTTATGCAAAAGAAAGTAGGAGGAGTAGTATGAATCACGTAAATTCTTAGTAATATGACAGAAGAATGATAACTTTAGTTGTTACACATGCCTGGTGCGGAGGCGATGTCATCTCAAGAATCACGGCGGTTCTCCTTAGCATCTCCACCATCAACAATGATGAAGTCTTATAGACTAATGCAGAACGCGTTACTTGAAGAGGGTGCATTTCTTCATTAGAGATCAGGAGAGGATTCGATAGATCTAGTATGTAGAACCACTCGCCGGAATGGGAAAAGTCTTAAAGACACCGAAGGATCTGGAAGGGACGAAGGATCTGGAAGGGACGAAGGAACGTGCCGAAATTGGAAACGTTAAAGCCCATGCAAACCTAAAGCCCAAAGAGAGAAAGAGCATGCGATTAAATCACATAAGAGGAAAAAACGAAGGCGGGGCCCACAATCTATCTACGTGAACTTGCTGAGGAGAGACTAAAACTCTCCTATTATAATATAGATTTTTCAGTGACTTTCAATTCTTGCCAAAGTAAAGAAACTTGAAAGTTGATGCTCCCGCAACATGATGTGTTTCTTATAACAATTGCAAGTCTTTCTTATAACTATTCTTTTGCATTTCACAATTTTCATCATCTCATTCTTTCACGTAAATACTCATTTATGTGCCACTGGTTCTTACATCATTAGGTGTACATACTACTGGTCCAAATACTTCTCTCTTTCTAAGCGATTTAATCCATTATCTATTATTATTTCCGTATTTTCCAATCATTTTTTTTGTGTACAATTTTTGATAGATGGTTCATAATCTTCATCCTCATCAACAGCTATACTGCATGCATAAATATTCACGATGTTGATTTGATATCAGTCTATCACGCTTCAGGCGCTCGTGGCTAATATCTAACCACTAAGCCAATAACTAAAAAATTGTGTCATACAGGTTTTACAAGTTTGGACAATAATGAAAAATAAATATTAAAAAAACAGAACAGTGAATTGTCTTTCACCACACTTTTAGATTCACTATGAAGCATATGTTTATTTAAACGAACAAGCAAAAGTATCTATCTATCTATAATAATAAAGTAGACTTCTTTATTGGGCAAAACTTTACACGTAGCACTATTTCTTTACTTTTTATTTTTGAAACAAATTGACCTTGAACTTACGAAATGGTCTAAGTTTGGTTTGTTTTATTTGTTTTGGGATCATTATTATACCAGAATCTCATCCCAGCATGTCGTTTAGGGTTTTCTTACCGTTTTCATCTTCAAGCTAGATGTTCCACGCCAAGCTATTTCCAAGGTTTCCGATCAAAATTTTTGTAACGTTTTTCTTTCTCTTTAACTCCACCATTAATCCAATCACTAAACTCACTCCACCTGTCCTCTGACTTTATCTCATATATTTAGTCTCACCATAGGCGCATCCGCGCAGGTAACAGTTTAAAGCTCGACCTATAAATGGCTCTTTTCGGATTGATCCAGCCCATGGGTTGAATCCTCAAATGCTTTTGTCTGAGGAATTTAGTTTACTTAGTTGAGAAGAAGAAGAATTGAGTCTTTTAGATTTGATTGAAAGTTGGCTGTGAGGGTGAAAGAAAAGTCTTACGGGAGTTCATGAAACCAAAAGAAAATACTAAGTTGATGGAAACTTTCAACGCTTTTTTTTCTTTGAACAGAGAGCGTAAAAGTTTTTATGCTTCTACAGGTTCTGTTTATATCTCTGAAAGCTGGATGACTTCGTCTGAATCTGACCGCAGCTTCAAACGTCTTCTTAATGGTACTATCTCTCTTTGAGCTTGCGGTTAAATCTATTGATTATGAAGAAATGGTGATGGGGATGATATCTACTTTGTTTTCTTAAAACACTTACGATCCATAGTTGACTCCGGCTATAAAAGAGGAAGCAATCATGAGAATCTATCATAGGGCAGAAAATAATTGTATGCCTAGAGGATTTTTTTTATGCTCTATAGATCATTTTCAGTAAATTCACATGTAGAGTACAATTGATTTATAACCCACCAACCACTTCAAAATAAAAAGATTAGCTCATGTTTCCTTTCATATGATGCAACGGCGTAAAAACCAAAATTAGGTTCG